GAGCTGATTTTGATCAAATCTAGATTTGTTACAGATTTTTTAAGTTGCTCCAAAATCAAACCAATGCCCAAAGGCTATAGCCTTGGGTCTTTGGCCAAATTTTGTCAAAAATAAAAAGTAGAGAATTCTCCATTTTTATAAATTTTCCTGATACATATTGATGTCCTTATGCTGTGTAGAAAGTTTGAGCTGATTCCGACTTCAATTTTTCAAGTTACAGCCTTTTTTAAAAATGAGCCAATTTCTAAAAATTTCCCTGTACTATAGCCCATGGTTTTTTCTGAAAAATGGTTCTGAAATCACCCCCAATTTTTATTACATTTTCTGATACATATTGATGTACTTATGCTGTGTAGAAAGTTTGAGCTGATTCCGACTTCAATTTTTCAAGTTACAGCCATTTTTAAAAATGAGCCAATTTCTGAAATTTTCCCTGTACTATAGCCCATGGTTTTTTCCGAAAAATGGCTCCAAAATTGCCCCAAATTTTTATTACATTTTCTGATACATATTGATGTACTTATGCTGTGTAGAAAGTTTGAGCTGATTCTGACTTCAATTTTTCAAGTTACAGCCCTTTTTTAAAAATGAGCCAATTTCTAAAAATTTCCCTGTACTATAGCCCATGGTTTTTTCCGAAAAATGGCTCTGAAATCACCCCCAATTTTTATTACATTTTCTGATACATATTGATGTACTTATGCTATGTAGAAAGTTTGAGCTGATTCTGAGCTCAAATTTTTGAGTTATGGCCATTTAAAGATATGGTACATTAGTATTACATGATGTATGGTCCCATCTTTTGTAGGTGATGAATCTTCAATAGTTACAGTACACATTAATGGAGAGAATGGGCTCATTACTGCTCACATATCAACAGATAAAGAGACATTCTACATTGAAGTATTGAACTAATAATGATGCACCAATCTTCCTTTATTCATAGCCTGCACTACTTCACACTGGAGAGTCACATGATAGTCACATGATAGTCTATAGACTGTCTGATGTTAGGAGTAATGGCAGTATAAGTATTGAGTGAGATTTTTAATAAATTAATTATTAATTTTATTCATTCTTGTAGCTATGAAACTGCTCCTTTACAATCAAGGATTTATAAAGAAAGTAAGAGAACTAATTATTATAATATTATTTATTTATTTATAATATTTATTTTTAGGTGGCAGACACAAGTCTCATCCATTAAAGAAAAGGCAGTCCAGAGGTTCTGATAGAAACACCTGTACACTAGCGCTAGTTGTGGATTATCGGTTCTACACCTTTTTACTGTCATCTGAAAACAATGTCATAACTACACTAGTGAGTCACATATTGTGTATTATGAGTCTAAAATTATTATTCTGTTTTTCTACTTCCCCTCCTTCTCTCTCCTCTCTTTCTCTCTCCTCTCTCTCTCTTCTTCTCTCCTCCCAAAGGTCAGTAGACTCTTTCATATTGACGAGAACTCCTTCAGACCCACCCACTGGATCATTGATGCTAATGGTAACAGTATCACTAACCAAGGACTGCAAATTGGGACAGTAAGTTACATGTACATGTACATGTATGTAACTATACATGTATTTACAGTATGTGTAAATGTATACATGTATGTATGTATATGTACATGTACATGTATATTTAATCTTGTCTCCATGCAGATATTGATACACACTGGTCCAACTTCAGATCCTTCACACTACAACAGTGAGGAGTCAGGCCAAGTTGAAGCTCAGGATTTACTGAGAGTACGTACTCAGTACACTTCAGTAAATTATTAAGAGTATTTTCATTGTTAGAGATTCAGTAGAGGTGACTGGTCCAGTTACTGCTTGGCTCATCTCTTTACTCATCGCCAGTTTAGCTCCGGGAAACTCGGACTGGCTTATATCGCTAGCCCTGGGGTAGGAGAAACAGGTGGAATATGCTCACAGAGTCAGTGAATGAATAAATGAATTATAATGTTTGTTATACTTATAAAGGAGTCATTGATAGTTTCACTAATGACATAGTTATATACAACACTGGTGTTAGTGTGGCTAGTACTGGGAAGAGGCTGTTACTACCTCATGAATCAGAACTGGTCATTGCACATGGTAAGAATTAATATTAATGAAATTAATCATTATTGTTTTTTTCTTTTTTTCTAGAAATTGGTGGGTTTTCAATCCTTCCTTGTCTTCAAAATGTATCACTTTTACCCCCCCTCTCCCTCCCTCTCCCCTCCCTCCCCCTCTCCCCTCCCCCTCCCTCTCTCTCCCTCTGTAGGTCACAGTTGGGGTAGTCCCCATGATCCTGGTACTGACACTAACTGTCGGTTGAAGTATTTAATGAATGAGTTTATACAAGACAACAGTGAAGGGACCCACCAGGTAAGAGCTAGGGGACAGGGAGAGAGGAGAAAAAGCATTTGTTATAAATGATGTATACGTGTATGTACATAACAGCTCACTATTATTGAATCTTTCAAATAGAAATTCTCTCCTTGCAGCAGGATCAGTATTGGTAGAGTATTAGCTAACAAGGCTACCTGTTTTCAAGGCAAGTAACTCATTGATGCTTCATTTAATGTTTAATGTACGTGTATTGTTCTTTTGTTCTGAAGGTCGCTCAACTTCAAATTGTGGTAATTACATGATAGATGATGGTGAGGAGTGTGATGGAGGTAGACTGACTGTCGATGATCAGGACAGCTGCTGTGCCTCTAACTGTAAATTAAGGAAAGGAAGCAACTGCAGGTATCTAGTCTACATGTACATGTTAAATAACTCTTTGTGTCATTCAGTATAACCTTAATCATTATTACTTATTACTTCATACATTGTTCCTCAATTGTCTCTAGTGATGTCAACCATTCCTGTTGTAAGGACTGTAAGGTTGCTCCTGCTAATTCTAAGATATGTCACTACGTGGGGACCATTTCAAATGATTGTACACGACAAACTTATTGCAAGTAAGTGTAAGAGAAATAACTATCCACTGTACATGTACTGGAGGAGGTGTGTGTGTAGGTACAAATTACTAGAGTACATTTCTTAAATTGTTTATTAAATGTTTGATACTATGTTCCTGCAGTGGATCTAGTTATGTTTGTCCTCCTGCCTTACAAGTTACTGAAGGCACAGACTGTCTAAAGTATTTTATGTCTTTTCTGTCACACTTTAATATCTAATCCCTGTCCCCAGTGGTAAGTGTCTATACACTGATGATACCAATACTACACTGGACTGTGTACCACTGTGTGCTATTGCTGGCTTTGC